TGATACAGGGATCTAGGCATAGTTTGAGGAAGGGAAATAATACTGAGATGCTTGACTGTCTTATGAATACTGATTTCCCTGGCCTTCTATTATAAAATAGACACTTGAGTAGGATAGAAAGGAGTGTCAGGAAACATGATTACAGAAAACTTGTAAGCCCATCTTAAGCCTGTAACTGATTGGAATACCTAAAAGGGGTTCTAGAACTTGCCCAGTGAAATAGGCCTCTTGCGGAGCTTTTGCATGTATAGGACCTTAAGTGGAATTCTGAGCCCCATCCAGAACCTTCTGAGGTGTGACATTTCCACTAGAAAGGACAAGCAGACCAGCCTGGAACAGCTAAAGTGACAGAGGAAACATCTTCAAAGAAAGATCATCAGGAAAAACCCAAAACAAAAATGTCAGTATGACTGGCTACTACACGAATAATAAGCAAGCTGTTTGCTGGGAAGCCATCAAGACAAGCAATCAAGTTTCTTCAAAACAAACCCCACTCTAAGATTGAAACTCAAAGGGAACACATGAGCAGGCATGTATATAAACTTGCTGGCAACCACATTGGTCTACTAGTGAGTGGAAGAGGGGGAAAGGCAGCAATAAAGAAATGGTCTGAGTTCACCCGTGGTCCATTGACTCCCATTGATATGGAGATGAGAGAGAAGAGGAAAGGCTGGTTGGTCCAAAGTGTGATGAGACCTGGGGACACCTGAGTCCATGGACAAGAACATAGCCACAGAGGGCTAGAGCTGAGAGTGAAGCATCCAGCTGATATGAAGTGAGGGGAGATGCACAAGAACACCCAAACTTGCAGATAGTACCCATTTGACCTAGCTTTGATGGCTTGATAATCAGAACTTGACTAGAGGAAGATTTAGAAAAAAAGCACAATTTTTGATAAAAGAAACAAGGGTAAATTGCTACAATTTGATGAACCTGACCTATACTCATGGAGGTAGTAGCTCAAAATACCAGCAGAGAGGGAAGGAGTCTTCACATCAAGTATCAGTCCTGTCCCCTCTGTACAGAGGGTAGATAGAGACAAGCAACTTAGACATTGGCTACCTAAAATGAGGGGGCGATAAAGGCACAAAGTAACTGGTTTACAAGGTTTCAAGAGGGAGTTTAGTTTAAGAGTATATGGGGTAAGAAAGAATCCCCACTGAATAGTTTTCATCTTGTCTAGATGGGTCTGGTGAAAAGAGATGGGGATAAGATTCTTGTGATTCAATAGTGAGTAATTGTTATCATGACTAATTGTGACTGCCACAATTGTAAAGGTAGAAGTTTTGCAACAAAAACAGGGGAGTGGTTAATCTTACAGTCCAGAAATAAAGGGCCCTACCTAGGACCATCAAGGGAGAAGAGCACAAACGGAATGAGAGACCATATGGAGGCAGATAGGGACATGGAGAGGGGGAGCGGCTGAAGACTCTAGATTTTTGGGAAGAGAGGGACTAAGAGATAGGAGGCAGACTTGTAGAATGTACCCTTTGGAGATGTCGATTACTATATATGCCTGAGTGTTTTTAAAAAATAAAGAGCTAAAGTGAATAGAGAGAAATACTGTTAACTGATGGTACATGGAGGGGATTGTAATCATTGTGAAGAAACAAGTTGTGTGATTTGTTGAATGTAAAACTAATGATCTGCCCTGTAAAATTTCACTCAATCTACAATATTAAAAAAAAAAAATCATTTAGCCCGTTCAAACTACTTTTGCCAAAAGGGAATCTAATGGCGGCATATGAGGGTGATTTAGAATTTAAGAACAGGAACTGGATTGGACGTGTTCTTGTCCTAAGGTTACCTTCTCTATCTCACTAAATCATTTCTGCCTCTCCCTACACATGTGCTGCTTCTCTTCTCCTCTCTCCTTCCTTTTCCTTCTCTATTCTGCCTTCCCCTTGCTTCTCTTCATGCTTTATTGTGCACATGATTGCTCACGCCCTGGCTCAATATCACTTCTTATTTTAACCATGTAACAGTAACTGACTCTGTTTTCCAGAATACTAGTTCTCAGTGTTTGAGGAAGAATCTGACAGGCTTAGTTTAGATCAGAAATATGCTTCTCTTCATGCTTTATTGTGCACATGATTGCTCATGCCTTGGCTCAATATCACTTCTTATTTTAACCATGTAACAGTAACTGACTCTGTTTTCCAGAATACTAGTTCTCAGTGTTTGAGGAAGAATCTGATAGGCTTAGTTTAGATTAGAAGTATGCTTCTTATCTAGTCGGTTCTAGCTGAGGAATGAGGAGTGTGGGAAATCAGAACCCTTTGAGATCGTGGTGGTACCTGGAGTTTTTCTTTTGGAGCTATGGAAGAAGAATCTCTCTGAGAAGAAAATGTGAGTGCCAGGAAGAAGCGGTTGGTAGAGAATGGACAGCATGTCCAGGATAATGCCTGTTATCTCATTGACCTTGGGCGGGTCACTCAAGTCTCTCTGAGTCTGTGTTCTCATCATTAACGTGTAATAATGATGCTTTCTCACCTGTGGCTCTGACAGTCAGGTATGACAAAGCACATAAAAATGTTTCTAAAAAGCTTTATACCAGTTAGAAACAAGTCAAATAAGGAAATTTCATAGCATATTTGCTGGGGTGTTTTGTAAGTTAACAGAATCTATTTTGGAAGCAATACTTAATGATATTATGTTCAGTACCATAACAATTTCCTATGATGGATTATTTCAATTAAGAAAAGATTCAGATAATATAATTACACATTAAAGCATAGTTAGATATAATCGATTTATTTAATTCCTATTTTATGCTAAGGACATTATACTTGGTCCTATGAGGGAACAAAGAAGGAAGCAATACTACTCAGAAGTATTGGGCTCTTTGCCCTTGGGCAGCACTCATGCAGCTGAGAAAAACATATACCAAGAGAGGATGGTAAAGTACTAAGAGCAGTGCCTAATTAGCACATTAGATGGTAGAAATCCACAAGTTAGGAAGGTCATTGAAGACTACCTTGGTCAAACAGAGGAAGCTGGGATATCAAAGATGAGTGGACTCAAATAAGAAACTAGAAGAGAGTAGGTTAGATAACAGGCTGCAAAGTCTTGTAAATCAGACTCTGGAATATGGTATATACTTTCATAGGAAAATTAGGTAGAAAGAGCTAGAAGCCAAGGGTTCGAGGAGTGCCCACCTGAGCAGTTCAGGCTCTGTCCTATGAGCTTTGCAGGTTTTTGAATGAAGAAGTGACATTAAGAAGGTCGTCTTATAGGCCGATTGACTTTCCTGATGCCAGTGAACAAGATGACCTTGAGGAAAAGAATCTGAAGGCCTCATCTCCCAAAACAACTATGCCTTCAAAAAAAAAAAAAAAAAAACAGAACTATTCTATGATGAGAAAGCTGATTACTGTCTAAGATAGGTTTTGCTTTATTTCAGTCCTTTCCCATTTCCTTAGATTTTTTTCAAATTATAGTTAATTTCCATTTTGCCATTGTTTACCAACCATGTCTCCAGAAATTAAGTCCAGAATAAAACTAATTACAGTAGATTTTACTGTTTTCAAGTAGGAAGAGTACTTGAGGAAAGTAAGTGCTATCAAGTTGGTTCAGACTCATAGGGATCCTGTGTAGGGTTCCCAAGGGGTGGCTGGTGGGCTTGAACCACCTACTTGCTGCTAGCAGGCCAGTGCTACGGTGCCACACCAGGACTCCATAAATACTGGACACTAAGTGCCTGACTGACATGGCTTCTTCCCCACATGATCATGTGTGATTGTATTAGCCCTTGTAAATAAAAAAATCTGTCAAAATAAATAAAATTTAAAGTCTGTCATAAATTCTAAAATACGTATATATTAAAAATAAGGTGATGTTGGCTGTGCCCCACAAAATGACAGCAGAATTTTTCTATCTCATCATCTGACTTATTTTTAAGCCACTTTTTAGTGTGTCTTTGCAATGTAATGTAATACTTTGCATCTTTCTCCAGGGTATTTGATCATACATTAGCTCTTATGGCTGAAGACTTAAATCTTCTGAGCCAGAAATTTGGATAAGAGAGAGAGGGAGTATGAGAAGAGTGTCAGAGAGAAGATAACGTGCATGTTTTTCAGGGAGGATATTCTTCAGTCTGAATACACAGATTCAGCAGAGAAAGGGGTTGTTACAATATTTATTAGAGCCAGCATGAGTCATTCCTGATACTAAAAAAAAAATCAAAGGAGAAGTGGTAGGTCACAAAAACAAAGACTTCAGTGACTCACTGTAATGATTTTACAGTTGCCCATGCCTTTCTTGTTCATTCCTGTCACCCTTAGGAGGAAAAATAATAATATAGAAGGGTAAGTTCAGTTCTGCTGGGAGTAGCATTGACATTTACAGAAAATATGAACTTAACACCTTCATATAACATTTCGAGGGGCTTCAGCCACAGTTTGTTTTTTGGGTGGGTTTTTTTTTTTTTTTTGTAGCCAGGCAAATTTTCATGTTGCTCTAATTTTTAAGAATTTTAAATTTATCAATACAATAAAACTTGATTTCTCCAATGTGATAGAAAGTAAGATTGTACAGTTTCTACATATTGTCCAGGGTTAAACTGAAAAATAAATCAATGGATTAAAATGTAGCAGATATTTACTTAAGCTATAGAACAAATACTTTGAATAAGAAGCTAAATATTTAGCATGTTTTCTTTATTTTTTCCCCCTGATCATCAGAAATAGCCAAGTGTTAGCTTATAGATCTGTGAGCTAAAACAGGGCTGTAATGTCTGAAAAAGTGAATGAGTGTTAAATGCTTTGTCTTAAGACTTTGCTTATGTACTTGTGTTGTAAATGATCCTTCTGATGTGATGTGAGGCTGAATTTATGATTCAGATTGAATTTATGAAGGTTTAATCAACATAAATTGTGTATTATCGTCTGCTGCTGTTTTTAAGGACAAAAGAACTGTACCTAGTATTATAACTCGTTAGTTCTTTTCAGTTCAAGGTTATCCTTAGGATTTACATCTCTGCTATTGCTGCTGTTCTTTAGGCATATTCAAAACATGAGTGAGATCAAGACTGATGTTGGACGAGCTCGGGCGTGGATCAGATTGTCTCTAGAAAAGAAGCTCTTGTCCCAGCATCTCAAACAGTTGCTCTCTAACCAGCCACTCACCAAGTAAGAAATCTCCTCTTGTGGCATTTCTGTTTTAATTACTTTATGTGCTTGTAGGATAAATTGTATAAACTAACAGAAACTGATTTCTTAGTAAGAATCATTTATTCCTGATTGCATGCATTCTTTCCTAATGGCACGTGAGCTTCAGAAACCATATATCTTGACATAATACTTGATCCTCTCTGGGAAGCGCCATACATTTCACAGGCAAAGACCGGATTATTCCCCTCTAATCAGAGTCCTGGTGTGGCGTTGTAGGATAAGCACTGAACCATAGGTCAGTTTGAACCACAAGGTCAGCGGTTCAAAGTCACCTTGTAAACCCTTCATAGGGTCACTATGAATTGGAACCGACTCAACTGCAATAATAACAAATTAGAAAAAAGTTAGCTAGTCCACACAAGCCAAGAATAGCATCCAAAAGATAGGCTAAACTATGTAAACCTTTTATTTTAAAGGACACAACAAAAACCTGTAGTAGCAAAAAAAATTTTTAGATGTCTACAGGCAATGGCTTCTGAGAGTTGCCAGTACTTACATTTATTAGTTTAGAGCCAGGAAACAGATCAGGTACATACCGTTTATTGTTAACCTTTTTGTTGGTTTTCTTTCAGTCTATCAAGAAAGCCTCTCAGATGAAATGAATCACCCAGATATGTATACTAGAGCTAATTTGAAGACTAAGGACTTTGTGTTTTCAAGGGCAAAAGTATGCAAAGAATTCAACAAAGAACTCAAGCATGACAGTCTGCTGAAATCTTATCATAGTTACCCAGTTCTTTGTGTAGTTTTGCATTTGTAGTTATCATCCTTAGATTACTTACGCCAGAGCATTTTAGGATGAATCTTAAAAACTACAAAGAATAGGTCTGATAAAGAATGCAGTGGTAGAGTATAATGTGTCATCCTGACTTTGTTTTCTTAAAATTGACTTGTTTTTGTGATTATAAAACTAACTTATGTCCACTTGACGTATACTTATGGATGTAGTAGTTCAAAATACCAACTGAGAAGGAAGGAGTCTTCACATCAAGTATCAGTCCTGTCCCCTTTGTATACAGGGTAGATAGGGACAGGCAACCTAGACATTGGCTACCCAAAATGAGGGGGCGATAAAGGCACTAAATGACTGGCTTACAAGTTTTCAAGAGGGAGTTTAGTTTTAAGAGTGTGTGGAGGAAGGTAGAGTCCCCACTGAATAGTTTTCATCTTGTCTAGATGTGTCTGGTGAAAAAAGATGGGGATAAGATTCTTATGATTCAATAGTGAATAATTGTTATTATGACTAATTGTGACTCTCACAACAGTAAAAATAGAAGTTTTGTAACAAAAATGGGGAGTAGTTAATCTTACAGTCCAGAAACAGAGGATCCTAGGACCATCAAGGGAGAAGAGCACAAGCAGAATATGGGACCCTATCCAGAGAATCAGTGGCACCAGAGATGGAGGCAGAGATGACGACATGGAGAGAGGGAGCAGCTGAGGACTCTAGGCTCATGGGAAGAGAAAGACTGAGTGCTGGCGGCCAGGAGACAGGCTTGGCAGAATATGCCGTTTGGTTGTTTAAATTATTATATATTCCTGTGTATTTTTGTGTGCACCCTCCCCTTCCCCCCCCCACAAAAAAAACACAGGGAATAGAACAAATACTGTTGAATGATGATGCACGGAGGAGATTGTAATCACTGCAATAAAATAATGTTGTAAAACCAATGTTCTCCCATGTCACAGTAAAAACTAAAAAAAAAAAAATCCATACCCTTTGTGATCAAAGTACAAAGAAATAGATGATAATCATGTATAATCCTACTAAAGATGGGAGTCCTAGTGTGGTGTTGTAGGATAAGCACCGAACTGTTAACCACAAGGTCAGCAGTTCAGACCCACCAGATGCTCCTTGGAAACCCTATAAAGGGCTGTTATGAGTTAGAACTAACTCCGTGACACATAACCACCACCACCAAAACCAAATCCTATACAGGGTAACAGTGAGTTGGAACCGGCTCAACAGTGCTTAGCAACAACAACATACAAAGATGAATTCCTTAGTATTTTACATATTTTCTGTGCTCTCTCCTATACGTGTTATTTTAGTGGATATTACACTATATTTACATTTCAGTATAATTCTTTTCAGTTTGTTATATATCATAAACACTTCTTTATATCAAGAAGTTAAGCTTTAAAGTCTGAATGCCTGTGTTCAAATACATCACTCATAATTTACGACATGATTAGGTTGTTAGGCAAAATGGACATTATGCTAGAACAAGGAGGCAGCCTCAAGAACCTGGACTTCAGACATGCTGTATCTCCAACACCCCTATGCTCTAGACCCCAAGGCCTTGCCATCTAGGACTAGTGCTCAAGTGGATCTCAGCCCAGGGGCTAGACTAAGAGGCACTGTAGATGACTCTGGGGCTTTGGCAACTGGCAGGGCTGGGAATCAAAACAGTTGATGGGGCTTGTTATCCATGCTCATGTCCCCACAGCCTCCACATCCACAGCCCTAGCTGCCTGCTGCTGCCCCATAGACCAGGAAGGATCTCTACAGAAACGAGTACCACAGTACTGGTCTTGGAGGGTTTGTAATCTGAACGTGAGTGCTTGGAGACTAACAGTTTTCAGAAGTGGAGCTCAGTAGCTTGGTCTGTTGAGGAGGAAAGGGCATCTAGCTTTGTCTCTAGCTCCTAGGCCCCATGATACCCCCAGTACCCTTTCCAATGCAGGACTTGGTCCATCAGATTGCTTGAGGAGAGGGGAGCAGTAGTAGCAACCTCCCCAACCCCCACCTCCTGCACCCCTCCAGCTACTCATTGGCCCTTCTCAGAAGGGCTCCCTCGGAATCCGCCTGTTGTTTCTTTTGTACAAAGAGCTGCATGGTGACTCCAGTGGCGGAGATGGGACCAGCAAAAGGCCTCTGGAAAGCTGGCAGCTTTAGCTGAGGCCTGACAGACATGAGTGGTTCTGTGGGCCAGGAGCTGGATACGGACATAGTCGATTTTTTACTGTTGTGATACATGGGAAATATAAGAAAACAAGATCCTTGATAAGTGAGGACTAGGTGTACTTCCTTTACTATTTTCTATCAGAGTGCCCTAGAGTGTAAGATATTTAACTTCTTTATGTCTGTGTTTTTCCCCATCTATAAAATGTGAATGATAATAGACTTATTTTATAGGGTAGTCATGAGGATTAAATATATTAACACCTATGAGATACATAAAAAGTGCCTAAATATAAGTGCTTAATAAGTTAACTACTCTTTATTGATAGATTTCTTCCAAAACTATTTTTAATAGCCACACACAGTTTTAACATGTATATATACGATGACGTATTTTTACTGGTGGACATCTATGAATTAATCTTTGTCCATATCTTGTATAACCTCCTTAGGATTGAGACCTAAAAAATAAAATTAATGCATCAAGGGGTGTGACTTGTTTAAAATAATTACTGCCAATAGTTTGTTTTCCTGCAATGTTCAGCCTCACCAGCCATTAGAATAGCTTTCATTGCCCCTTGTCAGCACTGACAATCACTTTTTCAATTCTTACTTAGTGTCATTTATAAGATGGATTCATGATTTTGTTTTCCTTAAATTACTAGTTAGGTCTGAAAGGTACAGATTAACTATCTGTTCATTTTTGTGACTTACCTGTTCTACAAGATAAATTTTCTACCCATAGATTGTGTAAGTGGATAAGTATTTAAGGAAGGCATTTTAAAACATGAAAATTGACTATACTGTTGTCTGAGGTTTTGTGCTTGTTGTCCCCTTTCTTAGGAAGCTTTATAAGCGGTATGCTTTTCTACGCTGTGAAGAAGAAAGAGAACAGTTTCTTTACCATCTCCTTTCCCTCAATGCTGTGGACTATTTCTGCTTCACCAGTGTGTTCACCACTATCAGTAAGTCTGCAGAGTCGACTGTTAAGTGAATAGTTGAATAAAAGAGTTCATGTTTTTCACAACGAGTCATACCATAGTGGATAGCACTGTGTGTGCCACCCAGATCTCTGTGTAGAGATGAAGTGCATTCTCTAGATGCTGGGAGTGCTTCCAGAAGACAGCCCTCAGGTGTCAGCCCTGTGGAGATCACCTCATCGATGGAAATGTCTTACCAGAGGTGGTATGCTTTTCCAGGAGCAGCCAGCACCCAGTGACTGATCAAAGCGCTGCCCCAGAGCTCCCCAGGAGGTCAGCTGACAACCTTGTTGAGACTGCATCGCAGCTCAGCTTCTCCCTTGGCCAGTCCTGCTTCCTTCTGCGTGTTGACCCCAGGAACACTCTCTAATCAACTTTCCAATATTAACCTCTGAGTCAGAATCTGCTTTCCAAGAAAAGAGGAAATGCTACCTAGGATGACTGTTAAATGTTTTATTACAAATATCTCACTATCACAAATAAAACACAGAGAGTCCAAGAATCAAAGTAGGATCATTATAAGCATGAGTTAAACTATGATGACCCAGAAAGACTTCAGGATCTTGCTGGATCTGTAGAATTGTAATGGGGAGACAGGCCCCCTGAAAAAAAAATGATTGGCAATTCAAACCCATCAGCTGTTCCGTGGGAGAGAAGACCTGGAAGTCTGCTCCTTTAAACATCACAGCCTAGTGAGCTTTATGGGGCATGTGTATGCTGTCATATAGGGTCACTGGGAGTCTGAATTGACACAGTAACACAATGGGAAAACATGCTGATGAAAGATGGATTATTAGTAGAATGTTAAATTAAAACATTTATCCTATGCACCATTACTAATTCTTATTCGCACGGGTTCCCCTTCCCTTCCATGAAGAATTTTTACTTAATATCAGTTTGGAATTATGTTCAGTCACAAGTATCTGAAACTTGGAAACCAGTGGATTAAATAAATTAGTAGTATAATTTTTCGTACATAATCCTGAAACGTCTGGAGGTCTGTAGTCCACAGTTCCATCATGGGCCTTTTCCTCAGAGACTCCCATAGAGTGTCCTAATCACCTCATCATCACAAGATGCTTCTCTTCTCAATCCAGATTCCAGCAGAAAGGAGAAGGGAGCTCCCAGGAGGAAGGGAACAGGATCTATTTTAGAAAAGCAGACTTTTCTAAGAAACCCCATTAAGTATCATGCGGGCTTTAGCTGTAGTCTTTGTAGTAGAGGCAGACAAGGAAAAGGGAAATTGGAATGGGTTAGACCAAAGACAGATCTCAGGTGTGGCAGGCAGATATGTCATGTGTCCTGTGTACCGTATGAAGCGGGTACCACTAAACAATTTGTTAACCATGTCAGTTTCCATCACCAGCTGTGAGAGATCATTCCGCAAGTCAAATCTAATACTCTGATATTTGAGAGCCTTCATGGGTCAGGGGATACTGTGTAATCTTACACTCCTGAATATAGAAAGAGAAGAAACTGTGGGGGTGGGGGACCAGTTTTCATGAGTGAAAGCAAGGAAAGTAATTTTCATGTGTTAAGTAAAAGATGAATAAGCTTGACGTAGGTTTTTGAGTTGATATAATGGGAAAATTATGTAAAAGATGGGTTTCAGATTTTTGGACAGGAGTGTAATTTCAATGTTATTTTCTTCAAATGCACCTTTGTCTGAAATCAGCCTATAATATCTGCCAAGCTACTATTACTCGTATTAGTTTTCTACTGGTAAAAGAATCTAAGATGTTATATACATTTAAAAGGTAAGGATTCACAGCAGATATAGTTAGGAGTCTTAAAATCCTCCTCTTATCTGCAGATTTCCTGCCAGAGTAGCCTTTTCAATGTGAGGAATTGATAACTCAATGAAAGAAGAACTTTGAGTTTAA